ACAGTTAAGTTTTCTTATAGATATTTAAAAGTTTGTTCTCTGCATCACCTGTTAATTATATACATTCTTTTGTTGTTATTGTTAATTATATACAGTTGATCCTGTGTATGAGTTGCTTGGTCCGGTAGTCAACTTCTAATGTGTGGTTTACATGCTTTTAAAAAGGGCTACTGAACTTCCAAATTTTATATATAGTTTTTCCTAATGAATCAAGCCCTTAATTTGTTTTTTCTCTTTGATCTTCCTCAACTTATTTGGACCTAGGATTTTGTTTACTCCTCAAGTCATGCTATTATTCTGAAAATGTGTTAATTTCTTCAATATAGGAACATAGCTCAGCTAACCAAGGTCGAAGTTATGAAGAAACCAGGCCAATGGGAGGTCCTTAGCATACCTCCCTGGTGAGAAGACACACTCTCTCTCTCTCTCTCTCTCTCTCTCTCTCTCTCTCTCTCTTTCTCTCTACCTATCTATCTATCTATCTATCTCTTATGAGCCAACTTTCTTTCTTATTATGGTATTCAACATTCAAAATGAAGCAAAATTTATTAATTAATGAGAAAAAAGATATAGAAACAAAAAGAAGTAGAACACCTTTTTGAAGTATTCCATGTAAAAGAATATTCACATTGTAAGTACTTCATTTACTTTTGTGTTTCTTTACTTAAAATGTTGTCAAAATATGGAAACTAATTTCTGCAGTCTACCACTGGATTCCTTGTGCAAATGTCTCTTGATATCATAACATGAATATTGAATTTGAAATAAATTGCTCTTTATTTGATTGTATGCTGTTTTTCCCTTTTCTCTCTTTCTAATTTCTTTTAAGATGACTAGATGATTGAGTATTGGATCAATAGTAAAGAGTGCATTTGATCATTTTATCATCTCTCCTTTTTTTTTTTTTTTTTCAATTTTTTACTAAAAATGACATGATTAAACTCTTATGATCCTTACAGCCAAAAAAATTTCTTATGATATTAATCAAGGTTCAATTTCTCATTTCAGTCCTTTTAGCTTTTTACCAATAACATTTCTTTCTTCTACAGTATCAGGTCTATTGTTTGCCTCAATTTGCCCAGTTTCTCTGGTGGGCTTGATCCATGGGGAAAACCATACAGGAAGAAGTATCGAGATGTTAGTTCTTATTTCTCCCTTCTGTTATCTGCTACTAGCTGTGAACTGAATGTAGAGCCTCTATCTGAAATTGCAGTTAGATTTATTGTGATTTCTCCCAACTTTGGCTTGCAGATGGGCTTTACTAATCCATTTGTAGATGATGGCCTAATTGAGATTGTTGGATTTAGAGATGCCTGGCAGGGGCTTCTTTTGCTCGCTCCAAATGGACATGGGACTCGTCTAGCACAGGTAGTAGTTAACAGTTTCATAACTGTAGTTTATAATATGGAATGAATCAACTGATGCAAACACTTCTAATTTACACATTGCATACATAATGCATGCTCTTTTTATGTACTTCCCCTGCAATTAGCCAGTGCTAATACTAAAAATGGTTATTCATTAATGCCTGAGTTGTACCTGACATGCCCCTGAGTAAAGAAGTAATGATTGCTTTTTATTGTATTTTTCACTTCAAATCTTATTTTTAGAGTTAATATGATGTAATATTAAAAAATCAAGGAGAATGTGGCTCCCTTATAAAATCAACTTGATCAGAGTCACTTAACTTCCTTTAGCTGTTCTTTCACTCCCTCTGGTTTTTTTCTTTTTTGGACGAATACTCCCTCTGTGGTTTTGTTTATAAATGTCGCATTTCTGCTGATATTTAGGCAAGGGGGATCCGCTTTGAGTTCAGAAAAGGTGCTGCTGATCACACATTCATGAGGATGGATGGAGAGCCATGGAAACAACCCCTCCCTACAGATGAAGACACAGTTGTTATTGAAATTTCTCACTTTGGTAAAGTGAGCATGCTAGCCACCCCATCTTGCCGATCCAAGAGTGTGCTGGACCCATCCTTACCACCCGGTACTCAAGAGGAAGATGAAGATTCTGAAGAAGACTCGCATCTTGAAGACTCAGAAGAAAGAAGGAAGTTTGGTGCAGCTGAGACTTTCAAACTTCCTGACTGCATTGATATAGCACACTTAAGTTAAGAAGTCTCTAAACAAGACGTTTCTGAATTCTGCACCCATTTTACGTTTCTGTGACTAGCACACAAATCCTTTTTGCATTACATATACTGCCACCACTGTGGTTCTATTTTTTTATTGGTTTTTGGCCCCACAGGATGATTTACTAGTTAGAATGTACAGTCCAGCAAACAATTTCTCTTATTGGTGAATACACCGACATCCATATAGCTTTTTAACTGTAGATTTCAGTTGAGTTTTATGGATATTTCTATGGAAGGTTCGGTAAGCCATCTGGAGAGATTGTAAGCAAATTTTATTCATATTAATGAGAACTTGAGCCATTCATTTTACTACTAAAATTCCCTAGTCCCTCAGACTAACCCTTATGTAATCATGTAAATTTTGCAATTAAAAACCAAAAGCCAATGTCTTGACTAACCTTTTTTTCCCTTTTCCTTTTACGTATTGGGGATGGATATTGGATGGAGAGACTGGAATTCATTTCTTTAAACATTGAAACCTATATCTTATCAAGTTACGAGCTCAATCTATTTAAAAATGATTAAAATGATCAACGTGTATTCTTTAATAATATTTTAATTAATTTAAATTCAAATTAATTATTTTTAGCCAATTCAAATTAAAATACTGCAATCTCAAATTATATTATATTCGTAGTTGCACAAGGTCGTAGTTGGGGACGTGACATCTTTGCTGCTTAATCATAGATTCATATGACATTAGTATATTACGACTTGCAAGTTGGATTGTCGATGTGAAGGGTTCAGCCCCTAATTCCCAGAATATAAAAAGCCATTTTTTTTTCTCTTTGAAAGCAAGAATCCATCCAAAGCCAGTGGTGCCTGTCCTAAAACCTTCTGGCCCACCATCTACTATTCTTATTTTTCTCTCCATGGTAGAAAGCAGATGATCTGTTTTTATATTATACTATTGCCTTAAAACCATGGGCTCTCCTAGTGTCTGGGGGATCCCACCCCTGGTTTCTGTGAAAACCAGAGTCTTTTTTGCCTCTAGTTTACTGAAGCTACTCCCTCTATTTAAGTTATCCTTTCTCCTCCCATCACAAAGCAAAAGGAAGCAAAAAAGCAAGAAAGAAAGGAGCATCTCAATTTCCACTTCAATTCAATTATCATCATCCTCAAAAGCAAGAAAGAAGCAAGCATGAGTTCTACAACCAGAGCTTGGACTGTAGCAGCAAGCATTGGGGCAGTGGAAGCTCTGAAGGATCAAGGGTTCTGCAGATGGAACTATGCTCTGAGGTCCCTTCAACAGCATGCCAAGAACAACATCAGATCTTATTCTCAAGCCAAGAAACTCTCTGCCAATTCTTATTCTGCTGTTTCTGAGAAGATGAGAAATGAGAGGTTGAAGAAACCAGAGGAATCACTGAGAACAGTCATGTACTTGAGCTGTTGGGGTCCTAACTAGATTTAAGCCCCCATCTATTTTTTGTAATTATGGACTTGTTATATTTATTCCTTTAATCACAAAGTTTGTATTTAAAAAATCAACAGATGTCGTCTTACAGCTTGAAGGTGGAATTATAACATAATGAAGATTCACCATCATACCTAGAACAATGCTAAGTCGTTTTCTCATGCTAAGTCGTTTTCTCATGTCAAGCTGCTTTCTGCTTCTGCAACCTTAGAGAAATCAGAGAATTCTGTCAAAAAAATCATGGAGATTAATTCCTGGGTCCCAATACAATCAATTTTTATAGGCAATTAATTTCAGGGGTCCTAATAAAATCTGATATAAAACAAACAGAAAATAATCAATATTTAGCATTTTCTTAGTTTTTTTTTTTTCTTTTGTAAGTGGCTTTTTTATATTTTTTTTTGTTTAGGTGGTGTTTGGTTGATAGCAGTAATTCTCTTCTTACTCAAGGAAATTCATGATTAATTTGGTATTTATACATTATACACTATATAATAAATAAAAACGAAAACTAAATATTTAACTCATTTTTAGTTATTTTCCTTATGGATTTTGAATTTTAAACCATTCAGCCAATTACAACTTTTCCTTCTTCAAGGGTTGTTTGGCTTGAAGGTATGTGATTTTAGCAAATCCAACCAAATTGATACTAAAAAATATATGAAAAAAATTAACAATTTCAATAAAAATTCAATACAGAAGTTATTAGTAGAGTGCTAACTTCTCAAAAAATCACACATTAAAAAGTTTTCTTTACAAAGTTACCCTAATGCTATTATTGCCATCAAAGAACGACTATTGGTTATGGGACACAATTAGCTGTCAAGATCACACCAAATATTTATAAGTGTATTTAGTTTAATTATTACAAGCAAACTATAACCATTAGTTAATGTTTAATAAAATAATTAATATTTATTATTTGATATTGGGTTTTATGCTTCTTTAAAAAGCTGTAAGTTTGGTAGAGTAGAAAATTGAATGTGCGGGCACAAAAGAACAATCTTGTTAACCCGTGCGTCTAAGGTTTCTCTTATGTATGTTCTTTGACGCTCAAGTCAGATTAGATTTCAATGAGGAAGGTTTCTGGGCAAAAGGAGAAGAAGAAAGCAAAAGAAATTTGAAATTTAAATCTACCTTGGGATTTATATAAGTCTTGTTTATATAATATTGAGATGATATCTAGTTGATAGATAAAAAATTTATTAGAAGTGTACATGTATCGAGGTCGAACTTAATAAATTAGATCTGACAACCAATGAAAAGGTGTCACATTGTACACATCAAACATGACTCACTTGCTAAGGAATAATGGTCTATTCGTAGGGGTTGACATGAATGCATCCCACATTCAAGTGCAATCTTATCTTGACATATGACAAGTTCCACATATACCTTATTCCTTTTGTCTTTAGTCACCAAATCTTAGTTTTAGGTAGATAGCTTAGATCCATCAAATATCACTTAGATTTCTTTCTAAACAACTTAACTATCTAGGTCTTAGTGGATCCTTATAA